AGTGAGACCCTGTCTCTAAAAAATAAAAATAAGTAAATAAAATTTTTAAAATGTTTCTAGGGAAGGTGAGCTGATGTGTGTGAAGTAGAGGAATGGGGAATGGTTCCTCCTGTTTTAATCAGGGTAGCACCCGTCTTATCAGGTAATTATTTGGGAAGTACTGTGTATGACTCCTTTGTTTCTTTTCCTAAGAAATACTCTTGGCTTTTATTTCCTTTTGACCTTGCATACACAGGAGATTGTTCTAATTGCTCGCTAGCTTTTTTGGAGATTTATGTGACCTACACTGTATCTGACATAGAGGCTTTGCTTACATTGCTTGATTTGTTCTTCGTGGTAAGTCCCAAGGGTGTGGAGGTCACTGTTCAAACCTTAATTGTTTGAACTGTGTGGTTTATACCTTTTTTTTTTTCTCTTATTCTTTGACCAGATCCTTTCTATTGTATCTCATTTGAAACTAATGATTCCAGCCATAGGTTTTAGGTGAGGCCAGTGTTTAGTGAATGGCTAATTCTTAAAGTCACTTTAGGTAGAAGGTCAAAGAGAATTTTCACTGTCTCACATTGTCATGAATGAATATATTTTTCTAATTTTCTTCCTTCTATATTTAAAAATATTTAGCAGTATTCTATAGATATAGTGGAAATTACAAGTTGTTTTCTAGTTTGTATTTTCTGTCACTTAACATTTAGTAAATATTTCATGAATAAATATTGTACTTAATTTTGGTCTAGTCTAAAACAAAGTAAAGTCTCTTCTCACAGGTAATAGTAACTTAAATTCCTTATCTGGCACAACATAGACATTTTTCTAGGCTCATATGACATTTCATTAAATGTTTATTTTCACACATTCATTCAACAAACATTAATTCATTACTTACTAAGTGATGGGTTTGGTACTGGGTGATAAACATAGCAGACCCAGCCAGCATCTGCCCCCTTGGGGCTCATAGTGTATTACTTTTATAAATGTGTTACATTTTCCCCTAATACTATTAACCACCGTTTATTATGTTCTAGTTAATGTGTTAAGCATTTTGAATGCATTACTTCATTTAATCCTTCATATAACCCTATGGAGAAGTGGTATTGTACACCCTCTTTCACAGATGATGAGACTAAGGTGAGAAACTTGCTCAGTGTCACAATGCCAGGACCCAAACCCAGAACTGCCTAATTTTCGACTCCTTCTGGTTTGTCTTCAACTTGCCTTGAACCTCTGACATGATAATTCGGTGCCTCATGTTAAAATAACTGTGTAAGAGTAAAATGTTATTAAGTAGCACAAGAGCACTAATGTCTAAGACGTCTCCGTTTCTCTGCCTGCGCTTTCTCAGGAGGAAACTCTGCACAAGTCGTCCAGCAGCAGCAGCGTGTCTCCCTCCTTCCTGGAAGACGCAGTACTGGAGGCGGCATCCGCCAGGAAGAGTGAGTATTCATGGTGCAAAGAATAGAGTTGGATACCTTGCAAAACACAGTCGACCTAGAACAGGGATCCCAGAGTGTCCCGGGATCATTTTGGGTAGAAGGAACTAACCCTGGCTTTTCACTGGTCAGGAGGAGAAATATTCTTTTATTTTCCTAGGTTGGCACCATGAGGTAGGCTCATCTGATAACCAGGCCTCGGGTTCTTAACTGGTAACAGACCAGGCACATTTGTGTTTATAGATAATAGTTACAGAAAATAAATCAACTGTGTGTGTGAATGGGTATATCTTTTTAGATTAATTACCTCCTTGTTCAGATTTAAACCAGAAGCCGTAGACAGCCATATTTGTCTGCCCTTCCTCCACACCCCAGCCCACCCCACAGACACACACCCGCCCCATATCCACATACACATACAGATAGTGAAAACACTTTTATAACTCTTCAGTGGATTCCGAACACAGATAGCTAAAGGGATTTCTAAAGGCTTTTAGTAATCTTTTTCATCTACAAGATCATTAGAAAGGATTAAAAATTAATTAATTATATATTAAGGATACCTTAGAATATTGGCTTGATCTCTCATACACGTGAAGATTTTAGTGGTTTAAATTCCTTAAATAGTATTTTGATTATTTAAATAGATTATATAAAAAGCAATAGGAGCCAGCTTTGGTTCTTATCTGTAATTGGTATTTGGCCAGGCCCATTAAGTATTATAGGGACCTAATTAAATCACATAATGGATTTTTGTATCTTTTCTTGACTTTAGAAATTGTGTTCATTGTTTTCCTATAGTGATTTCTCTTGGTGGGACAGTCCAAATAGATGAATCACATTTAACTTTGTGTTGACTCTCACTTTCCTCACCCACTCCATTGAAGCAGCTTCACTTTGCAGATAGAGTAGGAGGAAGTACTAAATAAAACTCTGGCAGCATAATTTATTTCTAATGTTCTTCTTATGTTTTCAAAATGTGAATCCAAAATCATTCAGGCACTAAAACATTCTTCTGTTAAACACTGTCCCAAAATATTACGAGGCAGAGAAGAACAATGGTATAATACTACATCAAAGCTGAAATTTACTTTTTGCAATTTAAATACAGCTCAATTTAAACCTAAGGACAAAATAACTTGATAAATATTGGGTTGGTGCAAAAGTAATTGCGGTTTTAGCATTGGTGAAATTTGCCCTTTGATATTGGAATACATTCTTAAATAAATGTGATTATGTTATACATCATTTTAATGCACATTTTCGCTTTATGTTTTTTTGCTAATGACTTATTACTTGCTGTTTATTTTAGACTATGGAAATGATGTTAGACAAAAAGCAAATTAGAGCGATTTTCTTATTCAAGTTCAAAATGGGCCATAAAGCAGCAGAGACAACTCGCAACATCAACAACACATTTGGCCCAGGAACTGCTAATGAACGTACAGGGCAGTGGTGGTTCAAGAAGTTTTGCAAAGGAGATGAGAGCCTTGAAGATGAGGAGTGCAGTGGCTGGCCGTTGGACGTTGATGGCCACCAATTAAGAGCAATCATAAAAGCTGATCCTCTTATATCTACACAAGAAGTTGCCAAAGAACTCGACGTCGACCATTCTGTAGTCGTTCGGCATTTGAAGCAAATCGGAAAGTGAAAAAGCTCACTAAGTGGGTGCCTCATTAGCTGACTGAAAATCAAAAAAATCGTTGAAGTGTCATCTTCTCTTACTGTATGTACGCAGCTACAACGAACCATTTCTCATTGGATTGTGACATGTGACGAAAAGTGGATTTTATATGACAACCAGTGATGACCAGCTCAGTGGTTGGGCCGAGAAGAAGCTCCAAAGCACTTTCCAAAGCCCAAACTTGCACCAAGGTCACTGTTTGGTGGTCTGCTGTCGGTCTGATCCTCTGCAGCTTTCTGAATCCCGATGAAACCATTACATCTGAGAACTATGCTTGGCATATTCATGAGATGCACCAAAAACTGCAGTGCCTGAAGCTGGCATTGGTCAACAGAAAGGGCCCAATTCTTCTCTACAACGCCCAACTGGTCACACAACCAATGCTTCAAAAGTTGAACGCCCGACTGGTCACACAACCAATGCTTCAAAAGTTGAACGAATTGGGCTACAAAGTTTTACTTCATCCGCCATATTCACCTGACCTCTCGCCAAGCGACAGCCACTTCTTCAAGCATCTTCAACATTTTGCAGGGAAAATGCTTCCACAACCAGCAGGATGCAGAAAATGCTTTCCAAGAGTTGGTGGAATCTCAAAGCACGGATTTTTACGATACAGGAATAAACAAACTTATTTCTTGTTGACAAAAATGTGTTGATCGTAATGTTTCCTATTTTGATTAATAAAGATTTGTTTGAGCGTAGTTATAATGATTTAAAATTCACAGTCCAAAACCACAATTACTTTTGCACCAACATAAATATATAGAAAGAGGAGTTTTCCATATCTTAGCTTTAAAACGGAGAATAAGAAAAGAGGGTACACTTGAGAATCTTGGTATGATTTGGTATGAATTTTTGGCCACACAGAATATATATTTTTACATGTTTTTAAAGTAATAACTGAGATTTTATAATTGTAAAATTCTGTGTAAAGTAACAGGGCATTTGTGGGAATCTGAGGCTATAGTTATGCTGTTTTTATGTGTGAATTCGAATGAATAGTAAAAACACAGAACATTTTTTCCTTTTTCTTTGCTATTTCTGTAGCAAGTTTATCTTGCAGAGATTCCTCAATGACAATCCTCAAAGTCTCCTCCTGAGGATTACCATTACCATCTTAAAATAACTCTCCAATGAAACAAATACTTCGTCTTTGAAGGCAGTGTTTGTCACAACGACAAAGTGTTTTCTGTTCAAAAATTCAAACTATAAGATGTGTATTTTGTAAGAGAGTTTATTTCATTTGGTTAAATCTTCAGAGCCTCCAAAATTCTTGCCCATATCATCAACACCGCAGCCAGAGAGAAGGCAGCCACCCCAGAGACGACATTCCATTGAGAAGGAAACGCCCACTAACGTGAGGCAGTTCCTGCCACCGTCGCGGCAGAGCTCCCGCTCTCTCGTAAGTAGGGGAAAGACTGCGTGGTGCCGTGGGGACCAGGGGGAGACTAGAGTCACTGGCTTCCTCACGAAGATGATAAGGAGATAAAAACTTCCAAAGGTTAGAATGAACTTTGAATGACTTATTTATTTACTAGCTAAAGAAAACACACGCTAACCATAATCTAAATGAAAGTTGACCAGTCTTCGTTCATTTTGAGCACTTTTTTTTTTAGAGGATTTATCAATGGTTGAAAATGTGGATTATTATTAAAGAAATGCTTTCTTCCTTTCAAAGGTTTCCTTCCATTTAAAAATTGTTAAAAACTTATCAAAAAACTATAGCAAGATTTTACTACTACAGTAAACAATTTTGTTGAGGCAGAAGTACAAAGGGAAGGGAGAAATTTGATCCATTAATAACCATTGTATTATACATTGTTTTCCAGTATGTTTTGTGATATTGGAACCAAAGCTGATATTTGGACTGGTTAACAATTTTTGCTGTTTTCCAGAGACTTGCAGTTTCTTGTAGTGGCTTCTCATTTCTCAGGACAGTGGGACAGCACACAGGCCCTTCCAGGAAGAATTAATAGATCCACCAGCCAAAGGAGGTCTGCAAAGATTCTTGTGTAGTCCCACTTGGCTTCAGAAATATTTGTAGGCGAAATGCAAGGCTTCAATTGATATTCTACCTACAATCTGATATCTAATGTTTTTTCAAATATTTATGAATACAAAATACTAGAAAATGCTTAAGTCCATTTTTTCTAAGCTGTGATGAGTCACCAGGGTTTCAAATGAACCAACAACAGATGTTCCTCCCTCAAAGAAGAGGGAGAGAGTGTGATTATTGTAAAGACAGGGAGTTTGAACAGAGCACAGAGTGCTGAAATTGCATCAGTCATCTCTATTCCAAAATAATACAACTAAAGAACTAATGATTTTATGGCTTTTTCTGGTAGGATTCCTCTAGCTCCTAAGTAAGCACCAGAGCACTGCTATCTGGCAGTGGTTTGCCAACAGGAAAGCACCTCTGACCAAGACAGGTTCAAACAGTAAAATCCAAAGATTTATTAATGTGAATAAGTTGTTGCTTACCAAAATATACACTTATTGTCACAATTTAAAAATATACGATGCTGAAATAATAATAATAAAAAAGTATACGGAAAATATATATATATATATGTGAGGGAGCTTTGTGATTTTTTTTCAAAGTCCAATAATTAGGATATTCTTTTCTTCACCTAGCTTTTCCTAGAAGCCACTCTATCATTCACTTACATACCTGGCCTTTGTGATCAGATAACCTTATTATTGAGGTTAGACTTAAATTAAAAAATTATCGGTGTAAAAGAACTATTATATTAACTACAGAGTAGTTTCAGCTAATAATAAAAGTTATGCCAAGACCTTCAGCCCACGCCAAAAGCCCATGAACATGTCTTTCCTGGCGAAGCTGAACTTTTAGACTATGCTTGGTCAGGCTCTGAGCTTTTTTTATGGAGAAGGAAGGAGGGCAGGATGAACTAGTTTGCAATCGCTGAAAAAGGTCTCGGTGAACAGGCAGTAGGAGAGCCCCTCTGACCGACACTAGATGATATTCAGGTCACAAAGAACAGCAAGTCCACACGAGAGGAGGAAAGGATGCCTCCCTCCAGCTGCCTCCAGGCAGCAGCTGAGACAAAATGATCATCCCCCTCAAAGCAGTGACTTTTCTTGCTACTAGCTTATCTTGGGAAATCCATAAAATCACACTTTTTAGTAATAGCTTGGTAAGTATTATTTTTAAAAGTGTGGTAATTAGTTTAAAATTTTACCTGCATTTTAGAAGGCAAGGAATTATTTTGTATTTATAACAGCTCAATTGAAAATGTCAGTAACGTTTTTGTTGTCGATAATTTTTATTTTTCTGTCATCCTTCTTTTCCTTAGGATGTTTAAAATGAATTTTTTTCGTCATTTGGTCAAATAACTGAGGGTGATTGCCCACCAAGTCGAAAAGCAACTTGTCTCTAATATCTTCCCAGGGGCAGGAGCAAGTAGCTACCTGGCATATACTCCCTGGAAGCCAGTCCATGCTTTCTTGGGCACAGGGACAGTTGCCTGTGTCCTGTGTCCCAGCAAGCGCCATTTAGGAGACTCAGAGTGTTCCCAGGACCACCAAGTTAGAAAAATCCTAAATTTAAACCTTCGCTGTGTCAACTCTAAGATTCTGCAGGAATGACGTCGTGGCTTGCGTACTGATTTATACATATGGATGCAGATGTTGGCATGGGCTGTTATCATCTTCGTGGTGTTTTTTGTTTTGTTTTTCTTTCACGATCTGTAATCACTATTTGTAGGTCACTCATGTTCAGCATTATTTTCTCCTTTTCTTTTCCCCTTGCCATTTTCTTTTTCCCTTATCTGTTGTTCAGGTGCCTAGGATAACCAGTGTATGGCCAAGGACGCCTTTCCGACCACTTTTTTCTACCATACAAACAGCTTCTCTGCTCAGCTCTCATCCTTTCGAAGCAGCCATGTTTGGGGTAGCAGGGGCTATGTATTATCTATGTGAGAGAGCTTTTACCAGCAGGTGGAAATCCTCAAAGGTTGGCCTCTTTCTGCTGGTTCTGGGAATCATTTTATTCTCTCTATCTCTTTGACAATGATACTTCAGCTACTGCACTCTGCAAGAATTAACAGCTTAGACGGGCACTTTGCTTCTGACCGTTGATTCCAGTCTTGTGTAGGATGCATAGATCATGCCATGATCTCAGCTGAGAGGGAAAGGACAACAAACTCAAAATGCAGCATCGGATTAGAGGGACCTGTGGATGTTTGTCTCTTCATGTGACCCAATTGTATAGCAGGGGCCCCCTTTTTCCATGTGTAGGAGGCACCCTTAGAGCTGTGGGTGCTTTTCTCTTGCCCCGCTACCATCAGAAGAGCATTTGCTCACTCAGTGAGCAGAACAGCCTCTTGCCAGGCCAGGTAGCCACAGTGGACGCCCCCACCCCACCCTCCACAGCTTCCTGCACACCCCACCAAGAGCTCTGCAGGCCACGTACCCAGAGGATGGGCCTCCCTGGGCTCAGGAAACCCGTGTGTTCTCAGCAGCTGTCATGAAGCTGTGTCGTGAAGATCACAGTATTACATCTCTAAAGAGAGAAATTTTGTTTTCTTTTTATTGATGTGGTTATTTAAAATATTTTAAGTCTGCATTTTGTTACTGTTTTTTGAGATTTTTACACAGAATGATATATTTTACTATTATTTGAACTTTCATTATAAGTGAAATAGAAAGCCCTGGGCCCACACGGAGCCTCTTCCACGCCCAGTGTAGCAGGTGCTGCAGAGCAGCCTCGTGGACTCAGGCAGGGCCTGGCGCTCCTGCCCTTTATTTTCTAATCTTGCCCTTGACAGATGACCCTCCAGCCGGTTTCTTTGTTATTCTCCCTTACCCGTGTTGGTATAGAAAGGAACTGGAATGTAAGTGTGACACAACGCATTCCTTTCTCTGTTCTTTGTCTTGAAGTACTGAGGGAGCCACCTTCCCTTTTTCCGTTTTGGATCTGGCCTGTGGAGCAGCTCGTGGTCAGGGACTGGGGTGGCTTTAACTCCTGTCACTCCTGCTGCCACTACTGAAGACCTCCTGGCAATTTATTATCAATCCTCCCCCGACAGAGATACCTGTGCACTAAGTCCACATGCTACTCCAGGCAAAGAGAGGATTCACTTTTAGTTTTAAAGTTGAATTTGAACCCCCCCCAGAAGAGTAATTAAACTTAATAGTTGCTATTTTAATTTAAATTCGCCTCCCTTTGGTTTATTAAAAACTCAAAAACCAATGTTTATTTTGGATAATTTTCAAATATCTGTTACTTATTTATGAAGTTTTTACTAATCAAGAACAGTGTATAAAAGATAACTCTTCCCATTTCTCTCTATGGCTCAATAACCAAAATGTTATATTATCTCTCTAACCTCTGTGCTGCCTAACTCTGACCCTTTCTGAATGGTAAAATATAACCAGTATATTCAACAAAATCTCAGCAATTTAAGTTCTATGCATAAAAGCAAGTTTTAAAGGCACGTCTGTTCCTATAGAATATTGTAATCTTTATTAAAACTCTTTCAGATTTACCCTCCCTTTCCTAAATTTGGGGATCACACTGAAACACAGACAAGGGAACTAGAGCTGTGCGGGGGCCTCCATGGCACCATGGGGACCGGGCCCTCGCTCCTGTCGGAGCCCTAAGTGCTCTTTACGTTTTGGAGCGTTACTAGCTCAGCAGCATCTGTTAAAGTTTAATTTGGCTATGAGGATGTCGAATTAATACTTTTGTCAATTGAAAAAAATAATTAAAACTATTCTAGTAACTATTTGTCATTTTCTTTCATGTTGCATTAAAGTTTTGTTGTCCTTGGGAAAGCTCCAGAATTAAAACATTAGCATTTGACCAGATGGAAATTATTTTATTAAAGTTTAGTCTGTTTGAAATTTCTAAAAAGAACAAGAAAACAAGCAAAAATCCATGATTTTTAATTTTATCCTATGAAGTACTGGATTTGCACATGGTTCAAAGCGTTAAGTTGAAAGTATGCTTGACTAAGCCCTTTTGTGACTTAAGACTGAAAAGAAAGAAGTACAGGCTGTCAGGTTTATTGTGTGTGCTAGGCTATCCCACAAATAAAAAAGAATTATACCATCTACCTGAAATGTTTACTAACTCAGGTATTCTAGGCATAAAGTTAATTAAATTGGCACTGTTTGCTATTTTCCTAGCACGCACAATAACAAAACTGGTTATCTGGTTATTTCTAGATACATACATTAATTATTATGTTGCAGCTTAGCAATTTCATCATATAATTAGTTGTCAGAAAATGTACCAAAGTCATACTCATTATTGATGAATAAAAATGATCATAGGAAAACTTCTTCTGAAATGCTGTAAAAGCTGAGAAAAGCAGTTGTTGAGATATATTCGGCTGGCATTACTTATTTAGTGCACAGCTTTAATGGCCTAATCTTCAAAAAGGCAATTCATTGTTCCCACTTGATGCTACTCTCTTTTCTCAGGGTGGCGCAAATCAGAGTAGAAATTGAACATGCCAATTTAATCCTGTCATCTTTGAAAGCAGCTCCCGTTGAAAGAGAAAATTGTGTGATGGGTGATTTTTTTATGAGTATTTTGAGTGTCTTGGAGCAAATGATATAATCTTTCTGAATAAGCTATTCCCCTGCCTTCCAAATACTAATAAACTCCTCATCTTAAAACTCCACTTGCAGAATTGTTTTTCGAAATAGTTTTAAGCAAATTTAATCTTCATTAAGATAGTTTGAACAGAGACGAGTTTGATTGATTTTTAGTAAGAAGCAGTAGTTCATCATACTACTTGTTTTTTAGTAAATGCTAATGTTTGTCAAGTTTGCAGCCTAGGTTGATTTTTCTTTCCCTGATTGAGAGAACTGAATGTTAGGACTCCATAACTGACTGTGGTCACAGTCCTGTGCTTTCTCGCTTGGCTTGCTGGATTCCAGAAGCCTGTGAGAACGCCGTTGTGTGTGTGGGAGTGAATGGTAATGTGTTTGTGCTGAGGACATTCGGTTTCAGTGTCACTGCACCACAATGGCCCCTTGAAGCCTGGCAGGGTCCAAATGCACAAGACCATTCTTTCTTTCTCTGAGATCCACCAATCCAGTGCCGGCCGGACGGGGCGGATGGGCCTGAGGCTCACTCGGCGGGATCAGTCACATCAGCACTCCTGCAGCTGTTTTCAGGGAAACCATTGGCATAAGGCAGCCAGCATAAATATTTATTATGAAATTCTTTTGAATTTCTCCACACCGTCCCAGTGCTGACTGTGCATTCAGTTGTTGAAAAGTAATAAGAGAACTCTGGAGAACCGTAGGGCAGCCTGGAGAGAATGCCTTTCCTGTGTCACCAGTATGCTCGGTTCCGGTCCCGCTGGCACCGTTAGGCTGTGTGAAGGTGCTGACGTAACTGATCCCTAGATAGTGCTCGTCAGTGTAAATTACTAACCCCCTTCTTGCGGCCATTCTGGGTACCACAAACCAGTTTTAAAAGACAAGACCAATGTTGTAAATTTGCTACTTACCTGTTAGTATATAGTGTATAACACAACACTAAATAATGTCTTTGCATAATCATGGGAGGAAACTGACATAAAATTGGTTTAGAACAAAATTTTTTCACAATTTTAAGCAGACACGTAGCTCTGCCTAATGATATAGAGTGACTAGTGGTGGAATATCTGAACACATGTGAGGAACCTTCATTTACTGGAAATTTTGATAGGCTACAATGTTTCACAGGGTCCCCAGATGTTTTCTGCATCTGTGGTTCTCTGTGTAATTAGAAATGGTGTGGTCCCCAGAGGGAGCCAGGTCTGTCCCAGTGGTCACTGGGAAACCTCTTCTCTGAAGCTACTAACCTGGTGTCTGATCTGAAGGGAAATTTTGCACTTCCAAAACGGGGGGTGGGGGTTTCTTATTCATGTGGCATTCTGAATTTCAGGAGGAGTTCTGCTACCCAGTGGAGTGCCTTGCTCTCACTGTGGAGGAAGTGATGCATATTCGCCAGGTGCTGGTGAAGGCGGAGCTGGAAAAATACCAACAGTATAAAGATGTCTACACTGCCCTGAAAAAAGGAAAGGTAGAGCTGTTTAACATTGACTGATGAGAAGGGTAGAAGACTGGCCAGTCCCATGCATGGCCTCCTAGGAGGGTTGTCTGCTGGCCACATGGTACAGGACAGTTTTAGGGGATTGTAGGAGGTAAGATGTTCATACTCTAGTGGACGGTCCCTGTTCTGCCTTGCTCACAAGAAGGGAGTCTTTTTGTTTCTCCCTTAGAAATCAAAATCTGTGGAAGGGCTGGGCGCCGTGGCTCAAGCCTGTAATCCTAGCTCTCTGGGAGGCCGAGGCGGGCAGATTGTTTGAGCTCAGGAGTTCGAAACCAGCCTGAGCAAGAGCGAGACCCCGTCTCTACTAAAAATAGAAAGAAATTAATTGGACAACTAAAAATATATAGAAAAAATTAGCCGGACCTGGTGGCACATGCCTATAGTCCCAGCTACTTGGGAGGCTGAGGCAGGAGGATCGCTTGAGCCCAGGAGTTTGAGGTTGCTGTGAGCTAGGCTGACACCACGGCACTCTAGCCCGGGCAACACAGTGAGACTCTGTCTCAAAAAAAAAAAAATCTGTGGAAGGTTTTAAAACAACCGTAATAATCACACACCTTCATTAAACCATGTCTGCATTTAGTCTTTATACTTTTAAAGGATCTGTAAAGAAAATATATCTGAGAAACAGAAGAGAGTTTTTTAAAACCTTCAGATTGCTTCCATGATGGTGAGACACTTGAGAGCTGTGGCTTTTTATTACCTTTTAAAATACAATTATAATTAAATACAAACCCAGATTAGTAGCAGTATCACAGAGCGCCAACCGTTACAAACAGGACTTCTGACTTCTCCTCCTCCTGTCTACTCAGCTTCCCCAATGTATAAATGTAAAGTACACTCAAACGTGGAAATCAGCTGTTAGCAATGCTACTTTCTCCTTTTAAATTTGTATTTTTTAGCTCTGCTTTTGTTGCCGAACCAGGAGGTTTTCCTTCTTCACCTGGTCTTATACCTGTCAGTTCTGTAAGAGGTAAGGTGTTTTGTAATTGATGAAAGGATAAGTGTAACAAATGTGAGAGAAATACTGTGCCTTCCCGCCCATTCTGCTGTGCTACCTCGTGCTAGCCTTGGGTTAGGAATATTGATTTCCTCAAGAGGACGGACCAAACATGCATTTGGTGTTGAACCTGGAAAATGTTTCTCTGCATGTTACTTTTACGTAGCCAAGATAATTCTAATTATATGTCATGTTCGAACATAAAAAACAGATATGGTTATCACGTGGTCCCTAAATAGACAAGTAAAAGAATTCCAAACAGATAGAAGTTGATCCTTTTACAGGAGACAGTGTTAGAGTGAAGTTTTACAGATTGATTGTCTTTCAGGCAATCCTCAGTGTATCAATTTGTTACATTGTGACAGAAGAACCAGAAAGTTTTTGTAGCTGATTTTAGAAATTCACAACTGTGCAGCTTTCGGCTTCTCTAACCCCCCAATCACCTTCATTCTGTCATACCAAGTAACGCTTCTGATTTTGCGTGCAGGCCGGTGTGCTCACAGTGTTGCAAAAAGGTAAGCTGAGCTGGGGTAAGTTATAACTTGTGTTCGTTTTAATGACTCTGCCTCTGTAACAGTACCGCTCATTGTCGGCTTTATTTGGGATAACAGATGCGGCTGCCTTCCAAGCCATACTCCACTCTTCCTATCTTTTCGTTGGGACCTTCTGCCTTGCAAAGAGGGGAAAGCTGTGTGAGGTCAGAAAAACCCTCTACCGGCCACCATCGGCCACTTCGGAGCATTGCCAGGTGAGCAAGGGGCTTGGGTCTTCAAAGCATCCATTGTAAAAGAAGAATACTACTCTTTTTGAGGATTCTAGTGAGGTGTCAGGGTTTGGGCTGGGCTCGAGGGGGTTTGGTTGGTTGGTTGGTTGGCTGGTGAGGTGGTTTTTGGTTTTTTTTAAGAGACAAGGTCTCACCCTGTCACCCAGGCTGGAATGCAGTGGCAGGATCATAGCTCACAGCAGCCTCAAACTCCTGGGCTCAGGCGATCCTCCCACCTCAGCCTCCCAAAGTGCCAGGATTACAGGCATGAGCCACCGTACCCAGCCTGGCTGGTTTTAATATAGTTGTAAATTTACACACCAATCTCTAAAGCTTCCCCACAGGTAACTTTTCAAGGGATAATAGCTAGCTACTTGAAGGATACTTCCGTCACATAGTTGTTATTTTTTCTACAATGCTTTCGAAATACTTTATTGTGTCCTTTACAAGTCATCTTTAACACGGACCTTGTTTTCAGTAGAGTTGAAAACTTACATGTGACAGTCTAAGCCTTTTCTTCTTTAATTTTGAAAGAAAATCTGTTTAATCCCGTGTTTACAACATCTGTGGTAGCTTTGGCTTACTTTACTGTTACAAAGGCAGAAATAAAGCTTTATGCCAAGAGCTGGCAATTTAAATGAAAAAAAAAAATTCCTGAGTACCAGCCCCTTTACATTTAATGTGGAATAAGGGCCGGGCGCAGTGGCTCACACCTATAATCCTAGCACTCTGGGAGGCCGAGGCGGGTGGATTGTTTGAGCTCAGGAGTTTGAGACCAGCCTGAGCAAGAGCGAGACCCTGTCTCTACTAAAAATAGAAAGAAATTAGCTGGACAACTAAAAATATATATATGTATAAAAAAATTAGCCGGGCATGGTGGCGCATGCCCGTAGTCCCAGTTACTCGGGAGGCTGAGGCAGAAGGATCGCCTGAGCCCAGGAGTTTGAGGTTGCTGTGAGCTAGGCTGACCGCCATGGCACTCTAGCCCGGGCAACAGAGTGAGACTCTGTCTCAAAAAAAAAAAAAAAAAATGTGGAATAAGGTTAGCGTTGGTCTTTAAGAAAGATAGAAAGAGGCAGACCAGCTGAAGTCCACACTGGCAGGGCTGCGAGGCTGGGTTTTGGTGCACCAGCGCGTGTCAGGCTGTGGACAGTGAGGTGAGGAAGCTGCGAACCCCACACGAAACTTGTACCTGAAATGCCTGCCCTGTGGTTGGACTCTGTCTCCTGAGACGCCACTGCTCTGTGATGACCCCTGAGAGTGAACTGGCAGTGGGCTCAAGGCAGTGCACATAGCAGCTGTTTTCCCTGTACCTGCTCTGAACTTACTGTGTATTATGCGTTGCATCTTAATTAAAATAGTAGATGAGTAGGTGATTCCTGGTTTTCTCAAACATTCCTGAAAGCATTCGTTATGATTTTGGTCTGGTGAACTCCAGGTTTCTGCAATCCAAATAACCAATCACCCAAATATCGAGAATTGTTGAGCAGGGCAAGGCATGTTTGATAAATACACAAATGATAAGAAAACTGGTGAAGAGATAATTTTTCAAGATCTATCATAGGATTAAGATAAACTTACTTCAGTTTCCTAAAGTCTGACCTACCATCTACAGTTAACTAGTGTTCACTGTTCAGAGGGTCACCAGATCCCTGGAGAAAGAAATTTAAGTCCTTTTAAATCATCAGCAGGACATTAGCATCATGTATTTTATCTCATTTTTAGTTGTTGGAATTCACCATCCATGTAAATATCATAATCAGGTGAATAGTCTATTTTCCAAAAATTCTAGAAGGGTGGTTAAGAGTTTTTAGTTTTATTTCTTAATAAAACATATCCAGGTTTCTTTTCTAAAAATATTTTTGAGCCTTGTCTCTAATAAGAAATTCTTTGGAAGAACATACCATGATTAAATCACTCATCTATTCCATGATGTTTGAACAACAAATTTACTTTTTTTTTTTTAAGAGAGACAAGGTCCCACTCTGTCACCCTGGATAGAGTACAGTGGTGTCATCATAGCTTACTGCAGCCTAAAACTCCTGGGCTCAAGTGATCCTCCTGCCTCAGCCTCCCACGTAGCTGGGACTACAAGCGTGCACCACCACACTTGGCTAATTTTTCTATTTTTAGTAGAGATGGGGTCTTGCTCAGGCTGGTCTCGAACTCCTGAGCTCAAACGATCCTCCCACCTCGGCCTCCCGGAATGCTAGTCTTACAGGCGTGAGCCACCAAGCCTGGCCTACTTTTTTTTTTTTAATCCATATTTTCTTAGTATTGCAGTAGACCTATAAGTAACAGTGCATATTTTGGTTTTTTCCCCCCCAGGTTCTCCTCAAAATCTAAGTCTGTGGACAAATCAGATGAAGAACTCCAATTTCCCAAAGAGCTGATGGAGGACTGGAGCACCATGGAGGTGTGTGTGGACTGCAAAAAGTTCATTTCGGAAATCATCAGTTCAAGCCGGCGCAGCCTGGTGTTGGCCAACAAAAGAGCCCGATTAAAAAGGAAAACACAGTCTTTCTATATGTCCTCACCAGGCCCCTCGGAGTACTGCCCTTCAGAGAGGACGATCAATGAGATCTGAGCCTCGTGCCTTTCGGTTGCTTTTGTGTTCAGAGTCGGCATCAGTGCACGAGAACACTGAACCGGACTGTCTCTCCCTTCCATGGTTTTATTTAATAGGCTTGAATTTGCATTAGATCAGATTCTTTGCTGCATCACATTGTTCCACAGACTGAATGCTGTGTTTATATCGATTGATGATACGTGACAGGTCAGCCAATTGCTCGTTTGCACTGAGAGAGGACAGTAGTTTGAAACTTGCTTTTGTGTGTCTGTGGGCTTTGGAAGCCAGAAACTTTTTCCTTAGTTCAGTTTTTTATTGTTCCGCGAATAATTTCCTGACTAAGGCAAAAAGCTTCTCCTATGAGAAATCAGCCTAACGGAGGTGTCGATGTTAGCACAGTCCTAAGCAGTAAGTCATATTGGCATTTCCACGCGACAGTGTTTCTACCCCATGTACATAGTGATCCGGAGCCCTGCCACACACCCGGGACCTGGAGGCGGGCCAGGCTGTTTATCGTCTTACGGCACAAAACCTAGAAGGATTCGCTGACGCTATCAACTGATCTTTAAGTTATTGTTGCTCTGAGATAAAAATTACACAAGGGACTTTACATCTGCATTCTAGTGCAAAACATCTGAATGAGCCGCACGCCCACCTGGGTGGCTGTTTCCTCTGAGCTGCCGTGTTTGTCCCGGTGCCATGGATCAGAGTCTCCCAAGTGGGGGACAGGCTTTCATTCCCTTTCTTGAATGTATTACGGTTACTAATAGTTTTATAACGAGTGTCTAAGAATTAAAGCTTTGTGGGAGCCTCAGGACAAAGGAAGGCTAAAGACTTGGCAAGAAGTGCGTGTATTTGTTAACTGCGAGGAGGGCTGCGGCGGCGTAGGTGCCAGCTGTCGGCCGCGCTGCGGGACGGGAGCTGGAGCTCGTGATTCTCAGCTGTGTTTTTCATAACTTTATAGTGCAGCCATCATGACTAAATTAAGCCACAATTTGGTATCTAAGGTCTCAAACTGAAATTTATTTTTATAAATGAATTTTAAAAGAAAAATATCTAGCTCTTTGAAATTAGAAGAAAATTAACCTGCCGACAGACAAAATTTTCAGATGCTTTTTGCACTAGTTTTCCTTGCAAATGACGTGAGTGAGCAGGTCGGGTTTGGGATGAAAGTGCATTGAGGGTGCGTTGCGTACCTGAGATGTCTCAGCTTGTTTGGCCCACACCGTGGGCTGTGCTTTATTAGTTTGGTGTGCTCACAGATGACCAGCCAATCAAATTGTTGTTACTGTTTGGAAAATCAATCAACGCACATGCACAATGATTTCCTGAAAGCCATAGGACACATCTGTAGTCAGCCTGGTGACCGCACCATCGAATGGGAGGCGTGGCAGCCGCGTCTCGTCCCGCGTTAAAGCACAGCGACATTTCCACACTAATTAACAGCGATACCTCAGGACTGCTCCCATGGTAGTTTTTAAACGATTGAAATTTACACTTTAGAAAATGGCTTAAAATTACTTATGAAATAAACTTTACCAATTGACTAAAATAATGCATGTTAACGGTTCATCTGAATTTGCATGTTAGTGGGCCAGCAGAGAACCCTTATTGATTATTTAAGTGTTTGAATTATTTTAAAGACTCCTGTTTAATAAAAGCATTAGAAGTTGTATTGGGTGAATCTCATTTATAAAATTTTCTAAGAGACTGTCTGACAGTTAGGTGGGACCCACCCCCTTCACTGGACCCAGGCTTGAGCTTCCTAAAGAACTGCCAGGAAGGGTACACAGGGGAGGAAACGGTCTTTAGATATGAACATAAACATGCACCTAGGAGACTAATGAGTAGTTACTGTTTTTATTAAAACATAAGAAACTACACCCCCCAAATAAGAATTTCATTCATGTTCACAAAGCAAACATCTAGTAAATCTCTTTTACTTCACTTCTTTGGGTCTACGTTACTATATAGGATGATCTGGGCATTACGATCACCTCTCACCAGAGCATTAGAATATAAATTCTTGAACAGCGTTAGCAGGGTTTGCCAAGTGCATTAAAGAGGTCAAGTGGATGGTGTGTCCATATGAAACAGTTTGCAGGAAGCCGTATAAGAAAGGGCACATGGCACACTTACAGTTGTGAAAATCAAATTAGCATCATTTTTTGGTTGCCAAAGCAAATTCTTGCGTTTAACCCTCCCATATCCATGATATGTACACCCTCCAACACTGCGCCTAAGTTAGGTAATTCGCTAGGAGCTTGTGGAGCTTAGTTTATAAAACCTTAGCCTCGTCCAACTTTAGGCACAGCTTCCTGTTCTTCCTTCTAAAACAGCCTCCCTTTGCAGTGTTCCTTTTTGTCCTGGTTTCCTGCTGTTCGGGTTTTACTTCTAATCCAATCACAGCAATGTTGCAGTCTGGCCGGTCTTGGTCGGGGTCTGCCGCATCCCTGAGCGCAGGCGCATATCGGAGCAGTTGTCCCTGCTCTCACCCAGCTCCCTCCAGGCCCGGGCACCAGTTCCTTTGGTCCCACATGTCTTGAAGTCACGCTGTTGGGAAGCCTGTGCTTCCTCCCCGTGGCTTAACTTTCTGTCAGTGTCAGAGTATACAAGGATGCTTGTGAACACTGTAGCATATTTATTAATATTTAAAAGGCACTCATTCAGGGGACAATGGGCTTAACTCTCCCAAGGCAAGTAAAAACTCAAATAATTGATATGTACACTAACTTAACTTAGATTCCAAGTCTTAAGCCTTCCAAATTAAACCAGAGGTTGTTATGTAGGAGTTTTAAAAATAACCTTATGTTCGAAGAGATATGTGATTAGCAGCATGAACCCATACCATGAAATTTTTAAGGCTTTTATTTTTCTAACTCTATTAATAAATATAGGACTGGAATTTAGGTATCATATAGGAAACATGAAAGTTTTAAATTATGTTGCCATTTGCTAAAGCAAAATAGAAAATTTTGTACATGCAACACTGTTGAAGGACCATGAGGAAATGTGTACTGCGTACTGGGCTTCTGCGTGATTGTACTAAATGTTTTTCATTACAGTCTTTTATTTTAACAGTTATCGAGGGATAAATAAAATGGCTTTCCGTGGTACCTTCTGGGTTGAGTTCCTATGTCTTTTGGTAAGTAGCTGTTAGACATCACCTGGGTTGGGAAGGCAAAGCACTTTTGTCATCAACAGCTTACTGTCATTGGAGAAATACAATCTACAAGGACCACGCTGGGAAAATTAAAATGGGGCCACCGCAAGTGACTCTGCTGTGTTACGGAGCAGCCTTGAGTAGGAAATTAAAATTATTAAAGAGTAAGTAACATTTTAATATATAAGTCACATATGTGGGGACAAATTGTGTATAGATGGATAAAGCTTTTTAAAATAGCTTTATTGAGGTATAATTCATATTCCAAAAAACCTGTACATTTTTAATGTATAGGCATATCGTTTTATTGTATTTTGCTTTATTGGGCTTTGTAGATACTACAATTTTTACAAATTGAAAGTTTTGTGGCAACCCTGAGTCGAATAAGTCAATTGGCACCATTTTTCCAACAGGTGCTCACTTTTCGTCTCTGTGTCACATTCTTGCAGCATTTCATACTTCTTCATTATTGTTATATCTGTCATGGTGATCTACGATCAGTGATCTTTGATGTTACTATTGTAATCGTTTTAGGGCACCATGAACCGTGTTTGTGGAAGACGGCAAACTGAATCCATAAATGTTGTGTGTTCTGACTGCTTCACTGACTAGCCATCCCCTCTCCTGTTCCGTGTTCCCTGTTCCGTGAGACACACCAATATTGAAATTCAGACAATTAATAACCCTACAGTGGCCTCTAAGTGTTCAAGTGAAAGGAAGAGTCCATATCTTACTTTAAATCAAAAGCTAGAAATGCTCAAGCTTAATGAGGAAGGCACATCAAAAGCCCAGAGAAGCCAAAAGCTAGGCCTCTTGAGCCAGTTAGTAAGTTGTGAATACGAAGGAAAAGTTCTTGAAGGAAATTAGAAGTGCTACTCCAGTGAACACAAATGATAAGAAGCAAAACCACCTTGTTGCTGATACGGAGAGTTTGGGTGGTCTAGCTAAAGATAAACCAGCCAAAACCTAATCCAGAGCAAGGCCCTAACTCTCTCCAATTCTGTGAAGCCTGAGAGAGGTGAGAAAGCTGCAGAAAAGTTTGAGCTAACAGAGGTTGGCTCATGAAGTTTAAGAAGAAAAGTTGTCTCCACACCATAAAAGTGCAAGGTGAAGCGGCAGGTGCGGACGGAGAAGCTGCAGCAAGTTATCCAGAAGATCCAGCTGAGATCATTGATGAAGGTGGCTACACTAAATAACGGGTTTTCAATGTTGACTGAACAGCGTTCTATTGGAAGAAGATGCCATCTAGGACTTTCACAGCTAGAGAGAAGTGAACACCTGGCTGCCAAGTTTGAAAGGACAGGCTGACTCTCTTGTTAGAGGCTAATGCAGCTGGTGACTTTGAGTTGAAGCCAGTGCTCATTTACCATTCGGAAAATCCTAGGGTCCTTAAGAATCGTATTAAATCTGCTGTGCCTGTGCTCTGTAAATGAAACAACGAAGCCTGGATGACAGCACATCTGTTGACAACATGCTTTACTAAATATTTTAAGCCCACTATTGAGACCTACTGTTCAGAAAAATAAAGACTCCTTTCAGAATATTACTGCTCATTGAAAATGTACCTGCTCACCCAAGTCCATGGATCAAAGAGTGATTTTGACTTTCAAGTCTTATTTCAGAAATACATTTCCTAAGGCTGTAGCTGCCATAGATAGTGATTCCTGTGGTGGGTCTGGGCAAAGTAAATTGAAAACCTTCTGGAAAGGATTCAGCATCCTAGATGCTATTAAGAACTTCCATGATTTACGGGAAGAGGTCAAAATATCCACATTAACAGGAGTTTGGAAAAAGCTGATTCCAATTGTCATGGATGACTTTGAGGGGCTCAGGACTTAAGTGGAGGAAGGAACTGCAGATGTGGTGGAACTAGCAAGAGAACTAGAATTAGAAGCAGAGCCTGAAGATGGGACTGAGTTGCCGCAATCTCACGGTCAAACTTGAATGGATGAGGAGTAGCTTCTTACGGGAAGTGGTTTTTTGAAATGAAATCTAGTCCTGGTGAAGATGCTGTGAACATTGTTGAAATGACAACAAAAGATTTAGAATATTCCATAATCTTAGCTGATAAAGCAGCGGCAGGATTTGAGAGAATCGACTGCAATTTTGAAAGTTCTGTGGGTAAAAATGCTATCAAGTAGCATCGCGTGCTAGAGAAATCTTCTGTGAAAGGAAGAGTCAATTGATGCAACAAGCTTCACTGTTGTCTTATGTTAAATGAATGGCCAAAGCCACCCCCACCTTCAGCAACACCACCCTGCTCGGTCGGCACCATCAACGTCGAGATCCTCCGCCAGCAAAAAGATGACAAGTTGCTGAAGGCTCAGATGATTGTTAGTATTTCTTAAGTAGTGAAGTATTTTTAAAGTATGTACATTGGTTTTTTTAGACATAATACTATTGCACACCTAATAGACTATAGTATGTATAAACTTTTATATGTACCGGGAAAACAAAAAATTGTGTAACTTGCTTTATTGCAATATTTGAGGGTTTTTTTTTTTGTTTTTTTGCAGTGGTCTGGAAACAAACTTGCAATATCCAAGGTATACCTGTATACAATTTGATGAGTTTGGGATAAAGCCTTTATATATACTTACTTTTTTTTTTTTTCTTTTTGAGACAGAGTCTCACTATGTTGCCCGGGCTAGAGTGCCGTGGCGTCAGCCTAGCTCACAGCAACCTCAAACTCCTGGGTTCAAGCGATCCTTCTGCCTCAGCCTCCCGAGTAGCTGGGACTACAGGCATGCGCCACCATGCCCGGCTAATTTTTTCTATGTATTTTTAGTTGTCCAATTAATTTCTTCCTAATTTTAGTAGAGACAGGGTCTCGCTCTTGCTCAGGCTGGTTTCGAACTCCTGAGCTCAAATAATCCGCCCGCCTCGGCCT